ACTGTAGCATTTCTTACCAGCCCCATAATTACTCCGAGGCAGTATCACTATGGAAGTAGATTGTCCAACCTTCCTTCTGGGGAGTGGCTGGTGGGTTTGAACCGGCAGCCTTCTGGTTAGCAGTCAAGTGCCTTAGGCACTACACTACCAGAGTTCCTTTGCCATCATAGTGGGAGTGAAATGGTATTTTATTGTGGTTTTGATTTACATTTTTCTGACGGCTAATAACATTGAGCATCTTTTCTTGCTTTGATGAGATGTTTAGTGTTTGATGGTCATTTGTATGTCCTCTTTGATGAAATGTCTATTCAAGTTTTTACCCATTTTATAATTGGCTTATTTGTCTTTTTGTTGTTAAATTGTCCAAGTTTTATATGTATTTTGGTTTTGAGATTCTTATCAGATATATGATTTCTACAGCTTTCTCCAACTGGTAGTTTGTTTTTTCCACTTTTTTGGTAATATCTTTTGATTAACAAATTTTTAATTTATGTAATCTCATGTATTTATTTTGTGCTTTGTTGTTTATGTTTTTGTTACTATATTAGATTGTTGAAAGCTATACTCAGCAGCGTTTTTCTGGCATTTTGTTCTAAGAATTTTATAGCTTTAGTTTCCACATTTAGGTCTTTACTCCATTTTGAAGTTTTTTTGTGTATAGTGTGAGGCATGGATTCTGCCATTTTTCTGTCTGCATACATTCAATTTTCCGAACACCATCTATTGAAGAGAATCTTCTTTTCCCATTCACTGGACTCAACATTCTTGTTAAAAATCAGTTGACCATATACGTGTGAGTTTATTTGTAGACTCTTAATTCAATTACATTGGTATATGTGTTTATAATTATACCAGTGTCAGCCTGTTTTGATTATAGTGGCTAATAATATGTTTTAAAATCAGGAAGTGTGAGTCCTCCCACTGTGTCCTTCTCTTTCAACAATGCTTTAGATATTTGGGGCTTTTTGCCACTCCATACAAAATTGAGGATTTTTATTTTTCTATTTTGTAAAGAGGGAATTTTGATCAGGATTGTGTTGAATCTTTGATTACTTTGGGTAGTGTTTTGGTTCTCTAGTGCTGCTAAAATAGAAATACTACAAGTAGATGGCTTTACCAGACAAGAATCTATTTTCTTACAATTCAGGAGGCTAGAAGTCTGAATTCAGAGTGCCAGCTCTAGGGACTGGGTGAAGGCCCTTTGACCTTGTTGACCTTCCACCCTGCCTCTTGTTCCAGGGCCCCTAGAGCTGGAGGCTTTCTGATTCATTTGGCTGCTGGCAACTGAGGATAACAAACCCACGATCAGCAAGTTGTTGTTGTTGTTGTTATGTGCCCTCGAGTCGGACCTGACTCATAGCGACCCCTCCTTGAGTTTCCTAGGCTGTATCACTATGGAAGTAGATTGCCCAACCTTCCTTCCGAGGAGTGGCTGGTGGGTTTGAATCGCCAGCCTCCTGGTTAGCAGTCAAGTGCCTTAGGCACTATGCTACCAGAGCTCCCATGATCAGCAAGTAGAATGACACAATACCAAGATCAACAGGCTCACAGCTGGCCACTGGTTCAAGTCTAGGAATGATCCCCAAATCAGCAGGCAACACTGCAGGCCACTGGACGATGTAGGATCAAGCCAATGCAGGATGAAGTATACCAAAAAGCTAGAGACCTTTCTCAAAGCTTCTCCTTATATACATTAAGTTGATTACCAGTCTCATCAT